TATAACATGGTCGTGAAGTTGGTGCCAAAGACACCAAACTTTTAGAGTAAAAAAACAATCAGCTGTTAGTAGTCTCTTATAACCGCTGAAAATCTTTCGATACAATTTACCGCCACATTTGAAGGTCGTTGTAAACTAGTAACTTTTGTGAAGACGGGACAGAGCAAGTTATTTTAAATTTGGCTGACAAATTCCACCATTATTAAGTATATGATCTCCCGAACGATTATTACCAAAAATCGTTCCTCACTTGTGACGACAACCAAGGTGGGACCATGAAGACCAACCTTTCACACACCTTCATGTAGAGCAGCAATAAGAACAAGGCCAAATATTGTCGCTCATCTCACCCTATCAAATGTCCAACCTTTAGAAATTTTTATGCTTTTTGTTAAATGAGAGATCTGTTTTTCTTGTTCCACTCATATGTAAATGAGGTGAAGTGATCTGTTTGTGCCAACTGTCTACAAAGCCGCTGAATGACTGCTACATCAAACCAACTCCAAGTGAGCTTTGAGACAGTATGAAACACAAAGTCAAGCAAATAACTACTCAACCACGTGAATATTATTGCACAACACTGGAGGGCTTGGAATTGCCATTCATTACCGTGGTGAAGCATAAAAGCTTCATGGTAATTAGGCTGGACTATGAAACATCCACCTGGTAGTGGTCACATAAAATGATTAAAATTGCTTAGACAGATTCCAAAACGATACAGTTGACGAGAAAAGGTTCATTTTTCGTCTGCCATCATGCTTGGAGGGAAGAGGTTTTTGCACGCACGTTGGCACGAGCACGAAAGCTGCGGCGATGAATGCGAATCAATGACTTTGAGCCTGCGCTAATCCTACTGATTCCCTCAATCACTACATCACTCATCATCAACTCCGCTGCACCCTCAAAGGCAGGCAGGTAGGCAGGCACACAGGCAACCACGTATCCACACACATAGGCAGGTGACGGGCTGTTGGTAGTGTTTATGGCCTTCCTTTAGGCTGCACCGCCACCACTGAATCACGATGAGTTGTGCACTCAAAGCATGCTCTTTTCAGCGGGATGACTTGACAGATATTCATTTGACAGTGACGAGGTGAGGATGATAAGATAGTTAAAAAGAGATCTATTACCTCTTCGTTTGCGATTGAGGGAGGCCCGAAGAGCGCTGGTTGGAGCCATTGCTATGACGCGGCCGTCCTTCTTCGCCGTTTGTAGTTTTTCTGTAAACCAGAGACCAGTGCGCGCTTTATTTGTGCTAAAACAGACAATGATGTGAGTTAGAAAACGAGTGAATAGGTCGTAACCAAAAGGGATAATTTATTTTGGCCATGTCTCGACGTTCCTTAATCAGAGCGGCAAAAAGAAATATTTAAGTTTAAACTAAGCGATTTTCATCTTGTTTGATGTAGACGATGCTAACAAACAAGCCACCTATTTAATTCACAAGAACGCCAATAGGAAAAGTCGCAAGTATGTGTCTTCGTAAGTGATAAGAGATTTAAAAAAATTTTACAACTTTATTAAATGCCAAAAGAAGGTGAAACGGTGAATTCTACAACATATTCTACTAACGCCCGACCCTCTAAATGATGTGAGAGGAGAGAACGGTGTTATGGGATCGGCGAGGTTTATGCGTATTGCGACTTGACGTGCGTTTTACGATGCGCGAGCCTTAGGGGTGCGGACTCACCCCACAACCGATCGCGCACACTCCCGTGTCAGAAGAGTAAACTGGCCACGCCTGTCTGTAATCATGAGAGAGTTCTGTGCTCCGTCAAGCGGACGAGTGGAGGCAGTCGACCCAGTCTTACTACCCAGTTTCCCACAGACGAGACGTCAATGTACGCACTGCATTGTTACTACTGACCTCATTTAGCATCTCGACGGGGCAGAGGCGAGAGTGAGGTTGAAGAACGATGACAAGACCGTCATCGGCGACTATTAGCATTACATTACCAGTGCAACAAGTCCAGGTCATGATCTTGAGCCAAAGGACCTTGTTTTAAATCGGTTGTGAGACAAGGTTTGGAGCTTTTCATTCTACCGAACTTGGTAAGGCTGTAAATATTGGCAAATGACTGGTTTGTCGACTTGGACAAACGTGAACTGGACATCATTCAGACTCATGTCATCTGCCACAATCATTCGTGAAGTAACGAAGGCGGACCAATTAAACGTCCCAATACACGGAGGAACCATTTCTAATTTATGGCCTCTATGAGGTTTAGGTGTTAAAAATATCTTTTAGTTTACTTTACCCTAAGGGTCCTACGGATCCGTCGCCTACTACTTGCAAGAGATAGATAAAACAAATTCTATTTGCGCAAACAAGTTAATTATTGCTGTGAATGAATAGGCAGTGGTCGAAGGCACACGGACAAATCCGATCGTATCAAGCTGGTTTTACTAAAAACAGCCGCGGAAACTTCAAAACAGGTGTAGAAAAATGATTAGACAGATAAACCGAACCAGTCTCACCACTGAAATTGCCATGGCGGTTGCTTTGGGGTGATGTGATTTATACACCCCATTTGCTGCTTTCAGCGGATGCAATCTTGAAGCAACCTCGAAGCAAGCCATTCAAGTGAGGGTAAGTAACTTGAGGTTCGTTGTGACACGCGACCCGCTTATGGTTGGTTTCAAATGACATCTTGATGTCACCCTGGGAATCTCTAAAAGCTAACTTTAAGTGTATCGGACCTAAGATGTGAACTCCATTCTCGAAATCCATCCTTAACAATGGAAATATGGGGGATCAGGCTAAGAAAATGGTATAGATGGAGAAAAAAATGAAAAAGAAAAGTCCTTCTCGAGGCGTAGACGGCAAAATTATGGAATCCACCGCATCATAGAGAAGATTTATGCCGTTCAACTGAGGCGGTGTCAGACTTGGCCGAATTCGCATCATCACAGACAAATAAGCATCAGTACACGCAAATGCCTTGAATAAGGGAAAAATGACTTGCCCCAAGACAAGGCGAAATTGTTGGCCATATAAAAACTGCCAAATCATGCTCCTCTTAAAATATGATTAATGAATACTAAAAGCAACACTAGAAAGGGCAAAAATTTTTCCTAAACAAACGGTAGAACAGATTTGCACCAAAGATAAATGGTGACAATTAAGATATCTTGTGCAAAAAAGTGCTTGGAAGGAGGCGAGTTTGCACCCTCTGAACGTCTTTACATCCCCCATAAAGATCAAAATCGAAATGGTAGTCCAAATGAATAGCAAGGGAACACTTTAGCATTATCTCCAAGACATCTCTTTGGTTTCGACCAATGGGAGCATAAATATGCAATAATTGCTAATTTACAAATCTGACTAAAATGCGAATACTAAGCATGCTGTAGTGCTAAAGAAAAATGAAAGGCTATGAAATAGTGAATTTAGGCTTAAGCAAAACGAAGCATTCTTGGGATAATTGTGGCCTGGTACTTAAGAACTTTCATAGAAGTACATTCGCTGCTTGACCTCAGAGAATGGAGTCACAGCTAACAAGAAAAGGGTACTAACTTGTTTCGCGCGTTCTTTAAGATTTGTGATGTCTTAAAGAAGTCATACTACACGCCCATGTAAAATTAACCCACTAAACTTATAAACTGTGGAACAGGTAATGTGAGATTGGGTTTGATTGAGAAAGTCACGACAAAGGCAAATGTAACCCTACAATTCGGCGAGACGTCAGGCATTTTAGATTGTATGTCTTGCAGCATGTTAGACCAAGAGCTAAACTGAATAGTAAACATCGTTGAACGTTGGCATGATATATCAAGCTAATGCTGATATTAAAAATGTGTTGAAAAAACATACCACTCGCTAAAACAGACTTTGCAAATAATGCCACCAGGATCCAATTTCTTCTGAACGCAGTTGCGGCAAACATACAATTCACAGTGACTGCACGCTGATTTTGGATTAAAAAGCGCCATAAAAGCTGCTCCACAAAGGGCACAGTGATCTTCATCATACCGAGTATTTCCCCGACGAGCTTTCTCCTTCGATATAGCTTTATCTCGGATGTTTCTAAAATCCAGAAGCCAATCTTAAAAGGAGCAATGTGTTTAAAGTCCTATAAAAGGCGTACGCCACGGTATGATATGTTAGTCAAATAATTATATGATAGAAAATTTTAAAGCAGGTTGTTGGCAAAAACAGAGAGCATTTAAATTATTAGGGCTTACAGACAAACATATGCTCAGTTGATAAATAAAAAGGAGTGGGTCTAGGTCCGATACCAAAACAAGAACGATCTGACACCGCGCAAAAAGATGATGGAAAATATAATGGCCGCGAAGAGTATGTTAACAAATAAGAAACAAACTTTATGCGCTCATCCTCCTGGCACTGCAGCATTTCATATCGCCGACACACATCAGCCAAGTGTTCCATTTCCTCTTCAGTAATTTCTTGATCCCCAAGAACCCTTCCTTTGCCCACAGAACTTGGAATGGTGACAGCATTAAATGGAACAGTCTTTGAGCCATTCACGGAGGACTTATTGGCTTGTTTACTGACATTGTCGAATTTCGCTGCAGCTACTCCACTTTGATGCGAGCTTATAACGCTAGCAGGCTTGCCTGCGTGCTTGCCTGATACAACACTCATCTTCAGTTGGATATTCAAAAATATCTTAGCGTTGGTAAAACTAGAATCAGATCATTTTTGTTCAATAAAACAATCGAAAGGTCACAAACTTATACTAAATTAGGGCCTCTGTTAATAATGTTTTATGCCTTACTTTCGAAAGTAAAAATATAACGCGCAAAAAATCTGTTTAAGCTGGTAGTAAAATTTAGAATTTAAAATTTAAATGTATTTGAGAAAGCTACATAATTAAAATTGTATACATAACTGCAATTGAGTCCCTAAACGCCAAAGTTATAAAGCAAAATTAAAAGTTACTTTCACAGCAGGATTGCTAGAGTTACGATTTCATAAATGGCACTTTGCCGCATGTGAACACCTTTTTTCCTGGCTTTTGATAATTCGAAATCTGATCTTAATTTCAAATAGTGACGCGGTGTATACTTATGTCGATTTCCTCGTAGTTGTTTCGGCCTATCCATCGAGGCATCTGAAAGCATGCTTCAAAAACCTATTGTAATGATTTGTATATATGACTTCCTGACGTTTGGCGATCCATTTGGGATTTGTCTGGTCCTTGTCCACGTGTGCTGGCCCTCGGACCATGCATAGGTTCATTTGCTATGTTTCCTTCTGAATGCATGTATCCAGCTTCACTTACTGCCTTCTTCCACCGTATGGGAAATCTGTGGGCGCTACATCTTGAACACTTTATTAGACAATAGCTGGCCTTTTACCTTCCCAAGACTTCCGATTAGAAGAAGGCAGTAATTTAGATTGGATGTTTTTATTTTTGGGGGAGGAGTAGGCTAGCTTATTTATGCAAGTACTAGATGAGAATCAAAGTAACCACTACCGCTACCTTTGGTACACTTCTCTCACCAGCCATCACAACCTACTCGGTACTGCAAGAAACCACCCACGAGCCAGTCATGGTACTCGTAAACTACTATGGGACCAATAACAACAGCACTTGGCCTTCCCATCAGCTTCAACTGAACCTGAAGTTACATTCAGTCTAACTGTCGCAATCGGGTCCGCATACGTCCTTTGAGCATCGATTTCTTCCAAGACTAGAATGCAAAACTCCGGTCAAAAACAGATGTGTTACATGGGGATCGGGATCCGACACCATCGTGTGCATAAAGAAGGTCCGTAGTGTCACTCCTGACATCCAGACACGGATGTAGTAGGAAGAATTCCGACACGATGCTTTTCAGGTAGTTCAGACCGGTGTCGCTTCAGCTGTTAACATCAAGTCTGTGGAACGTGGGGCCAAGGTGAAGCCAAACGCAAGCGTCATTTTCAACGCTTTTGTTAATGTCGAAATCAAAGATTCTCCCGACTATCATGAAAATGCGCCTGCTCCACACTCTAGGTATAAGGCACAAATAGAAGATACTAGGATTAAAGTCAGTGAAAAAGTCGGGTTTGTTTTGCGTTGCTCATAGTGTAGCGTCCTGAGATTTCACATTAGGTAGTAGAAAACATTAAGGTGGACTAATGGCATATATTATAGGAAGAGCAGGATAGAGTAGGTCTAGACTTAGTCCGAAGATCAGACGATGAATACGAAGGCCAGACAATACCAAAGTAACCGCCAAATACAAGGTGATCGTACAAACAAAGTATTGCAGGCATAGTACCAAAAATGAATTGCGTTTTTAAAAATATAAGAAACGAACCAAAATTCACTTTTCCTTTCCAATACGAATCACCAGTCAAACCAAAACTTCTTTGACGATGCACAGTGTTTTCGATAGTTAGTAAAAATTTCAGAAGAATCCGAAAATAATTTGGTTGGAACCATGTGTCCATGTCAGCAATTAATTCAATGTTTTGCCTCTCCTAGGGAAAGCGTAGCATAGAAACCTACTTTTGCAAGCCTATGATGTCATAAATTGCAGTAGTATCTAAAATCCACAAATATGTCTGCCGCTGTAATGCTATTTTTGTGACCACCTGATGTCTGTCAAATTATTCTGCCCTTCCACTCATGGCCATACTAAGGCTCATATCCTTCTTACCTTTCCAATTTACACGGATTTCAACCTTAAACGGTACCTTTTCCTACTTAGTGGGATGTCTCGGGGCTCTGCAATTATGTCGACATTTCTCCTACCGCTTGTCCCTTGGTGTTCACCGTTTGCGACATGCGTCTGCGGAGCAGAAGAGTGCATACGCGTCGATCGAATTTTTTTGAAGTCTTTATAACATGAGGGTTTTTAATGACGTCCGTGTTTGGCTTTACCTTGTCTACTAGTTTTGGATACATGCTATCAACAACTAAACCGGTAGCACCGTAAACCATTTGAAATAAATTTTATCCAACTATCGGTACTGCGTCGAATTTCCTTCTATATGTTATTGTACTTGATGTGTTTTAAGGCAGTATTTTAACGTCTCGTCGACTGGGGTATGCGACCCAGATTCCAACTATTGGACCAATTCCAACTCCAGATCCAGTTGATACTGCTCAGATCTAATGATCCCTTAGTCTCATTGCAGCTGATGACTGGCGTAGTCAGCTTGTGGGTGTTTCCATGTATCACCGGAGATGTTGAGATAGTCTTCCTAAATTTTCCTATTATTTTCAATTGTAGGATCTTTATGAATATTAATGTTTTAGGGTTTAAGAAACATGATGCATGCAGGCGTTGAACATTGAGACATCTAAAGCTACAAACTTCCATAAGTAAATTCCGTCGTTGATAGGTCAACTTTAATATTGGAGAATGTCTGCACTTTACGGCACCGCTTCATACAGATATTTTAGAGATAGACCTGAGTGGGCTGACGTTACTCCACTTAAGCAGGATGAGAGTCCCCGAGGTGTGGTCCGGATAGCATACTCTGATGCATTCGTTGACGTACATGACTACGTCCGTGCTGTCATGGCAGTCGATGAACGTTCACCAAGAGTATTGGAATTAACAGCCGAAGCTCTTAGAATGAATGCCGCCAATTATTCTATTTGGGCCTATCGTCGCAACGTTCTTGTAACGCTAAACTCTAACCTTGCAAACGAACACACGTTTACTAAATTCCTTCTTTATGACCATCCGAAAAATTACCAATTATGGTATCATCTTCAGTGGCTAATGGAGCAAGCTGTTAAAGAAGATGGGAGTAATGACCCCAAAACCGTCCTTGATCGGCCAGATTCGGATCTTTACGATAAACTGATGACGGAGTTTGAGCTTCTCCGTGGGATTCTGGATGATGATGCCAAGAACTATCATGCTTGGCAATATCGTCGTTGGCTAGCTGACTTCTTTAAAGTACCAGTTAAAAGCGAACTGAAATTTTGTGAACACATGATATTTGAGGATCCATTGAATAATTCGGCCTGGAATCACCGCTTTTATACAGTAATTGAGGAGGGTCTTGATGAAACAGTCTTCGATAGGGTTAGTCATTCACTAATCGTCGACAAAATCATAGCGAACGTCCATGGATTCTGTCACCGTTAGAGTCTTTTTTATCAAAAATGTGGCTTGCAATTCTTATTTTTCCTCGTTTCAGGAGATGAACTATGCTGTTACCCAATTGAAGTCAATGCCACACAATGAGTGTGCCTGCAACTACTTATTGGGCTTGATATCCCCACTTCCTCCAAATATTTCCACAAAAGATGAGAAACTGGTTCATAAGCGTCTCCTACTGGTTCGTGATGCCATCGAAGATCTAACTGAAAATGATCGTGATGGGGCAGGTGACAGTCCCTCAGTGCTCGCTCTCCTTGTTGACTTGTTTCACACTTCTCTACAGCATCGACTTCTGAAGCCTACACCGTAAGCAAGCCCTCTCCGTAGAGTTTACACCACCCCAAAATTTTGTTTTAGCTGACTCACCCCGCCTCCTAACATTTTTCTCAATTTTTCAGCTCTGAGGAAAGCGTAGAAACCCTCAACGAGATTGCAAATAGCGCTAAGAGCATTTGTGATCGCCTTGCCCTGGAGCTAGATCGAGTGCGCGCAAACTACTGGCAATATCGACGCAAACAGATTGAGGAGACAATAAAGAAATTAACTTGAACATTTACTCCCCCTGTTTTGGCACACACCGTTACCCTTGTATGGGAAGAGGGCAAAAACTACCTCCATGATACGACTGCTGGCGAAAACGGAGTATTGAGACCTGGCACGACTATCATCTTTTTTGTGGCGCCGGTTCCCTTCATTCTCGGCAATTCCAATACCTCTCAAAACCAGGAATGCATTTTTTGCTGGATTAGAGAAGTACCACGTGTTCACTCCACTTTCAACTAGTAGTCTAAGCACGATTTGGGGTGGATATAAGCTACAGAGACATCAGTGCAGGCTCGAAGAGGAGGTACGACTACGATGCCGCCAAAACTGACTCAGACAAGGCAGGGGAAAGTGGGATTATGATTAGCGCTATGATCGTATGTACAGTTAGTGTTGGTGTGGTCTAAGTTAGGTACACGTCTGGCCACCGGCGGAGGCCAGTCGTTTTCGGGTGGCGTCGTCTCTCCGCGCTCGGCGCTTTGCGTGAGCGATGGATTCAGCAAAGAGGCCGCACCAGTGACGAATAGTAACAGGTGAGTCGTCATTGCCAGGCACTGGATACGTGATAAGTCGGGGATCACAGTTGGAATCCACGATACCCACCGTAGGAATGAGCATCTTGGCAGCATCGCGCACTGCCACGTGGTCAAAGCCAACTGGATTGACGGTATTAAGCATGATTATGAGGTCAGGGAGTCGCGTCGTGGCACCGTAAAAGTTTGTGGAGTCCGTAAAAACACCGCCACCCCATGGCCGACAATAAGAGTATTCTCCTACCGCCTTCGCGGTTTTTTCTACTAGATGCATCATCTAAAAGATAAAGGCTGTGAAATGAACGAATTCGAGGTAAAAAACAGGATATTTGAGGCTAGGGAGAACAGGTCAAACAGCATTTCAGACATGTAGAGTTAAAAGTGGTAATAGGACGAACCTGTCTATGTTGTATCATAAATAAGATGATGCCACCTCTGTAAGCGATATGAGCAGTGAAGTTGAGGGCATCAAATAACAGTTCTGCCGTCTGTTCGAGGTCGAAGATGTCGATGCCCTGACGAGAACCAAAAAGGTAGGGTGTCATGTAAGGGTTACGAAGCAAGGAGCGATGACCGAGGTGTGCACGAGCATTGAACAGCTGTTCTACTGAAACTATATCACGAAGGCCAAAGTAATCAGGAGATTGAAGGGGATCGATCATGACAGGAGAAGAGTGGGAAGGCGGTGTTGCAAGGGAGCTGAGAAGTTTCCGCCGAAGAAGAGCTTCAGAAACAAAGGAGAAAAGCGAACCATAACAACAGACGAATGGACACAAAGCACTCATGCAAGTGCACACCTAAAGATGAATCTGAACAAGTCATTATGTTATAATAATTTTCAAGATATGCACCCACACACCAACGTAAACCTACTTGCAGCAGACAATATGAGAATTGATAACGCACCGTATAGGATTAAAATGAAGGACATATCACTCGAGAACCTACCCAGTGAAGGTATTTTGAGTAGCATGCACATATGTGACCACACTTGCCCATGCAGAACAATCAGTCACTCGGACTTCTTTGATTAAAGAGCCGACGACTGGTAAGATAAAACAATAATTCGGTCGAGATACAATCATCCGTCAAAGGAACAAAATTGTTTATTTTAACTCAGCAAGTAGTTTTTGGTCAAATACTTAATTCAATTATTTTAAATCATTGCAAAGTGTATGAAATGCACGGGTCTGCAAAATCCAGGAGCACATGAGCCACTCATTGTCATCTTGCCAAACAACAGGAAAACAGGTGCGCGTACACTACCTAAAAACTAAGAAAATCGTAATCACTGGCAATTGTCCCCCTAATAGTTAAAAAGTTACTGATGCAACCCAAATTTGAATACTTGTAGTATAGTTTTACCTTGCTTAGACACTTATGTCATCTACTGCTAGCACTTAGCATCAAAGAGCACCATTTGTAATGCCCTGAGATTTCTCACTGCGTAGAAGACATTAATATTAGCTGCATACGTGTCTTATTGAGATGGGAGGAAGGGACTAGGAACTTGCTAAGCTTGAGGGCAAGCTTGCGCGTCAGCGTAGGGCGAATACTAAAGCGACCAGGGCATAAGGCTTATTTCCACCCATTTTCTTGCATTTAAACACAGGTTTAACATAAATTTTCAAGTAGAGTAAGTAAACGACTGTAGCGTCCCGAGACTTCCCATAGGGTGGAAGAAGGCATGGGTGAGGTTAAATATATGGATTCCGAAGACGACAGGACAAATGGGATCTGAGTGTGGTCTGAAGGTCAGCCCACGTGTACAGGGGCCAGGCAATTTCTAAAGTAACCGCCAAAAGTCGCATAAACAAAGAATTACAACGACCACTACAAAGTTGCAGTTCTTACATCAGAATTCGATATTCCTCAAAGAGGGAAGCTTTTTAGGTGGAACTTAGTTGTTCTTAAGTTAATACAATGGACTATGTACATGGTAAGCCATGCTTGCCTCGTCCCTGGGATGGCTTGTCACTTGCGTCATTAGGCTCTTAAGTCTATGAGCATCAAGAAAAATTTCAATCTTTCAAGTGCCTACGCACATCAATCAACTTCAAATCTCCATCGAAAAATCGTTTTAACAACAAAGCACTCCTAAAGTTCTCCTGAATGCTTGCCTAGAACACATTCATATTTGAATTCTAAGACATCTAAAGAAGACTCAGAGACTATTCTTCCTAGTTGCGCTGACTCTCTCCTCAAAAAAAGATATTAACCACCTTCACGATATGAGAGCGGTTACAATTGGAGAATCAATCGTTTTACCCTAGTGGTGATTGCATTTTCCTCTTTTGACTGAATTTTCTAAGCATATTTTTTGCTGTAAAATATAACGTAATTGCTAACCTAAGTGAGGCACACCTCTTAATTGACTAATATCATTTCCAAACCTTCCAGGTGTGAACTTTTTTTAGAACGTGAGTTAGACGGGCTTGTGGCAACACTCATTGTAAATTGGGTTGGTATCCAGCCATTGAACCTTCCTGGAACTAAGAATTCAATTTTTGTGCCCCAATTTTTCTTCTATTGCGACATTTTTGAACGATAAAGCCCTAGATTGCACCACCTCTCGTAATCGTTTGACACAATGTGTTAATATTTTCAAAACTCTTACTATCTTGTTATCAACCAGGTGTGTTTGATAGACCCTTGACCAATTTACGGTTGTGGCATTCCAATCGCCTCCTGTCACACGGCGCCTCACCTCCTCATGTCAAGGTTTTGCGTGATAGCCTGATCGGCAAGGCTCGCTATTCCTTCCACTCAGAATTGAAAAATTAGGCGTTCCATAGAACAGCATAGGCAATAAAACGGCATAATTTTCCTATGAGTTAAATCTGCGTAATTAGAGAGGCGCCTTTTGTTAAGCCTTGATTTGGCGGTTTCATTTGATTGAATTGATTGTCGATAGCAGTACATCCAAACTTTAACTGCATCCAAACTTCGTGCCGTGCAAGTGTTCTTCATGGGAGCTAAAGAGGAGAGAATGTCCCATTTACACCAAACCTTTGAGGCATTCACCATTACTGCTAAATTGCACTGTTGTCTTCCATTCTTCCCAGTCCCTTGTGACGTTTTTATTGGAAGGGCTGCACTTATACTTCCCCGCAGTTTCCTCGTGAGATGGTTATCTCCAACTAACTAATTCCTCGATGCTGGAATCGGCGACCGCATCGATGGGAAGGGTCGAGGTCGTTCTCATCCAGTAGCTGTCCTCCCAAGACCACAAACCACAGCGATCATCGCTTTCACAAATCAAGTCCCCGCTTCTATCAAGCCATTTTAGTGTGCGACTACAATAAATATGGTCCACAAGATAGCTGTCAAATAGTTCAGTAAAGTTGTTTTCGTTAGCGTTAGTTAAAAGCATTGTAAAGTATAAAACTAACGATTTCTGGAACAACTTGCAAGGCAAACGACAATTTGCATCAATCACTGCTTCACTTAGGTGATGAGCAAAATCGCTGAGGCTAATTTACAAGTATGTGGTTATGCAATTTTAACTTAAATTGACAGGACCAATGCAAACAGCCGTAAAGGGCTCAATTAGTCAGGCAACATAACAAATTGTGACTTATATTAGCCAAATAAGATAATTCATTGGTTATCAAATCATCATTTGGTGGCAAACATCTACCAACAATCAAGAATTTAACATCGACAATTGCACCAACCTCCAACTCACCTTTATTCATTTTCAGTTAAATTTGGCTGATTTAAATATAATTGCTATCATTAAAGAGAAACGATTGCTGCTTATAAAAGGGGTAAAATGTAGACTCTGTTTTTACGTTTGACGACGAGGCTGCTCTGGGCATTGGAAATGCATTTAATAGTGAGAAGCCTAAGATGTAGTCCCCTAATAATCCGACTGTTGGTTTCCACTTTTATCACACAGATGACCATACTGCCTTGGCCAGAGTGATAGCCTCCAGGCGCCGTGGAATGGTCAGGCCTTCGTCCTTAGAGGTGAATACATGTAGCAGAGGTAATACATATTAGTGGGTTGAACAAGTAATCAGCCCTCAGCCTGCAGTTAATGGCCTACTGAGTAAATACTTGATTTTTCATTACATGTCAAAAAGCTTATCAATTTTGATACGTTTTATTAAGATTGTGGCACAATGGGAGAATCTCCATGAATTTTGTGTAGTTTTCATAAGTGGACGTTGATCAGGAAGGAATAAATGGGCAAGTGAGTAGGAAAACTCATATTGACTGTCAGCCTCCCCAATGTAAAACAAGTTAGACAATTATGATATATTACTATGCACTTTAGCATCAACTTGATTTGATTTTGTCTGCCATTTTAAATGACTATTTTCTCGAACAACGTGACCCTAAAGCAAGACTTATGCATTTTCATCGGAGATTAGTGACGCAAAAAGCAATTCACTTGTAATGAGACCTTGGCATAAACGAAATTAAAATGCACCTAGCATAATTAGTGCTTCAAGGCAGCACTACCCCAATCCGAATTAGATGATAGAACTCGGGGATTATGGTACCTATCGAATCACATGATTGATGTAGTTGGTTTGATTACCATTAAAGTGCCTTAGGAAGAAAAGATTATGCGGCATCACATATCCAAGTAATGCTTTACTTATGCGATCACCCAATATCTGACAGTTACCTCGATTATCTTCTTGTCCTTTTAGCGTGGGCTGGCCTTAGGGCAATACCAAAGCCCAAACCCTTCCTAACCCGCCCCAGCTAAACTTAATGCCTTCTTTTGCCAAGTGGGAAGTCCAGGAGCGCTGCAGCTCAATCATACTTCTTTGCACCATTTGCAGGCTCTGCTACCTTAAGTTCACCTTTTTATCCTTGTGCATTTTTGATATTCCACTGTAATTATTGGATGAGAGTTTAATCTAGAATCTATAATTTAATCTGGATTCGATACGTGCACTTGTAAGACACATCATTTGAACTTGTTATCACAAATTCGTATAATTTAGTTGTCTACTTGTTTTAACATTCTATTCTTGACCATCCTATGACCCTAAACACCCGTCGGTTATGAATTTGCTCACTTCGATTTCGGAGTGCTTCTATCCTTCCATATTAATTTGTCCAGCCCTTGAGCCTCACGTAATAATCATCGACCATTTCTGTCGTTTTCAATCAGTTGATGTTCGGAAATGCATGTGAAGTTAACCTTTTCTAACCACTAATCTCTTCCCTCTTTCGCGGAGTCCTTACTTTTTTCAAACTGTTAAGTCCGATCATTCGTGAAAGTACACTCCTCGTTTTTGATGTTATAATTATAACTCTTCTGGATTTTACGTATCGTTTAAATTAAGGATGAAAAAAGTACCGAGAAGTTTTCTCACCCCGTAGGTTTAAACATCAATGGTAGCTGGGAGAGGGTGCTATCCTCGGAACACGGTCCAAGTGGTACGCTAAGCCTAATTTAACACTTGGTCGAGGTGTTTTTTTCCCACTGTAAGCGTATGCTGTGTGCTTGCCAAGTTTGAAATGGTCGGATTAATGGTGTACTGCCCTTGAGCAAATTGAAGTTTTCGAGGTTCTCTCTCAGTTTGTTTAAAAACTATGCCCCACTTTCTGAATGCTGTATAAATTTCCACCTTAAGTGGAATGTGGTGTATTAAAAGAGAACTGCAATCAGCTACATGTAGGCACATTTAATTACAACGATCAATTTGACACCCATCTGGAATTAAGTCTCCTCGTCGTATTGCTGCAGGAGAAGCGACAGACGACTCAGATGTGTTATAATTATTTGGCGACTTTTGGGGCGTTATTGCCATCAAACTGCTCAGCTGCTAGGATGCAGACAACTCAGTAAATGTCATCCACCGAATCATGGGTGTTGGGAAATCATGGCAACACAGTGTGAAGGCGCTAACTAAAGATCAGTGGAAGCGCATTACTTCAAGCAACACAACTGCATGCTTTCTAGAA